CTAGTTTCTGATCTTAGTGATGATGATCTTCGAAGGACATCAGATGACGGTAGACAAGTTGTTAATCTGCCAGTCAGTCAGTATCCTGGAGTTCGCCAACAATCAAATCATTTTAATGATGTGAATTGCATTTCCAACCCACCGAGCTATGGCACGGAGCGTAGAGACTTCAATGCCGGCGCGGAGCGAATAGACTTTAACGCCGAGCATCCGATTAGTTCCAGTTATACAGGGACTGGTCAGCAGCTGCTCAGACTGGACCTAGGACCAAATACATCCAACATTCATAATTTAGGACAGTTTAACAAATTTCAAGGAGCCCAGACCCACACCTGGCAGCAGCCTAGGCATCAGGGTCAAACATTGCATAGGAGAATTTAGGGGAGTTGGTTTATTAATTTGGGATCCTTTTGTTTCTTTTTAGAAATATTGCCGAAAGTGAATTTTTAAGAAAAAAATTACACAATTTTAGTTAATTTTGTTTTCAGGTGTGGTGGAAAACAGTATTGTTCCTTCGAGGTGAATAGTCAAGTTTTCGGAGATCCTTGTCCAACAACATACAAGTATATGGAGGTACACTACTCATGTCAACAACAGTTTACAACAACAACAGAAGGACATGCACAGCCGCCCTGGCTGTTGGATCTCTCCGCCACTCCGTCACCACGTAGACGGCCAACAACCTCCACAACCACTACAACGACGACAACCACAAGTACGACTACAACCTCGACTACGACTACAGAACGGATTACGGAATCTGTAAAGAGTTCTGAGCAGGATGAACGAACTCGTCAAGAGTATGAGAGAAGAGAAATGCAAGAGAAGAAAGATCGTCTTTACGTTCTTGAATCTGTTGTAGATCACTGCCCGCCGGTCACAGTGCGCCAGCTATTCTGGAATTGGACGAGCGCCGGTGAGCTTGCTATTCAACCCTGTCCAAGCGGTAGCACCGGGTTCGCCAAATGGCGATGCTCGGAAGATAGTGGTTGGTTCACCGGCTCGCCAGATCTCAGTGAATGTGAATCCGGGTGGTTGACCCGTCTCAATGCCCAGCTACGTGAAGGTGATGACGTGCTTGAACTTGCAGACGAACTTTCACAAACCTCCAAGGTGAAAACAATGTACGGTGGCGACGTGGCGCGTGTTTCTGAGCTTATGCAGAACCTCGCGCACAGGATGCGCCAACAGTTGTTCTCAATCTCCGATCCGGAGGAGAAGGAGCGGATCACCGGTCTCCTGAGCCAGCTTCTACTCCAGACGGGTAGCAACCTCCTAGAGGACTCACAAATGCTCGCCTGGAGTGACCTCGTCCCTTCGGAGAGGGCGAAGGCTGGGAGTGAGCTAGTTCTCGCCCTGCAAGAAAACGCCTTCCTCCAAGCCAACTCTATCAATATAGAGAAGGATATATATACGGTTGAGAACAATATAGTCTCATCTACACGAGTAATGAGAGCAAGAGATCTTGAAGATCAAAAGTTCAAGAGTACAGATGCTAAAGTTGAGATTACAATACCGTCAGAGGCGCTCATTGAGAACAGTGAAAACGGAGCCATTCGTCTTTTATTCTTTTATTACAACAACATGGATCATATTCTTCCATCTTCTACCAATGGGATTAAGTTTTTAAACTCCCAAGTTGCCAGTGCTTCCCTGAGTAAAGGACACACCTCCAGTCTGAGTAAACCCCTGACAGTGCTCTTTAAGCATACTGAAGTTGGTAGTATGACGAACCCAACCTGTGTTTGGTGGGACTTTGTGAGTAAGACATGGTCTAACCGTGGCTGCTGGAGCTTGGACTCCAACACGACCCACACTACATGTCAGTGCACCCACCTGGCCAACCTGGCGGTCCTTATGGAGGAAACTACCTTTGCCGCTCCACACTCAAAGGACAAATCCACTTCGGCTATGACAGTGATAATAGCGGCCGTGGTGTCAGTTGTTATCTGTTTAGTGACCGTTACGGCTACTTTTATTATTTTCCGACGGTTCTCTAAGACCATGTGTGGTGGAAGCTCCTGGCCTTGTTTTAAGACAAAGGATGAAAGAACTGGATACTATCCTTACCTCTCATCCTCAACCACAACCACTACCCTGACTCCACCCACTCCCGGAGACCAGGATCAGTCCCAATACTGTCTCCAGAACGAATGCCAAGTTCTCCGACCTCTGATGATTACTCCACTCGGTCCCAACTCTACCATCTACCGTGCTACCTTTGCTAACGGCCAGCAGGCGCACGTTATCCCAATATCCAACCAAAACACGGTCGGAAAGAACTTCCGTCCGATCACTCCGTCGGCCAGTCACATCTACATGGAGATAGATCCTGTCTACAACTCTGAAACCTTATCAGACATTCTAGTTTCTGATCTTAGTGATGATGATCTTCGAAGGACATCAGATGACGGTAGACAAGTTGTTAATCTGCCAGTCAGTCAGTATCCTGGAGTTCGCCAACAATCAAATCATTTTAATGATGTGAATTGCATTTCCAACCCACCGAGCTATGGCACGGAGCGTAGAGACTTCAATGCCGGCGCGGAGCGAATAGACTTTAACGCCGAGCATCCGATTAGTTCCAGTTATACAGGGACTGGTCAGCAGCTGCTCAGACTGGACCTAGGACCAAATACATCCAACATTCATAATTTAGGACAGTTTAACAAATTTCAAGGAGCCCAGACCCACACCTGGCAGCAGCCTAGGCATCAGGGTCAAACATTTCAGTGATATTAACGCGGGATAAACCGCCGTCAGCAAATAGTTTTCAGGGGAAACTACAAATCCTCCAAATAGTTTTCAGGGGAAACTACAAATCCTCCAAATAAATCAGAAAATCAACAAAATATTTTCCAAGTTAAATTTGCAACAAAAAACACTAATAATTTTCACAGAAATGTCCAAACCCTTTTCCCTACTGAAAATTTAAAAAAAATGACAACCCTAGAAAAAAATTTAATTTGATCTCTCTATGCGCGCACATGTTTCATTCAGTAGAATAATGTTTTTGTATTCTAACTAGTCATATAAATAATATATTAACAAATAAATTCTTATCTTCATATTTTGTGCATGTTTTTTAAGTTTGAGAGAGTTTAAGAATATTAATTGACTCTATGTCATTGTAGCATCTGTATAATAAACTTCTTTCCGTTTAAGAACAAATTTTGGATATTTTTTTATCATTTATATTATACGTGATAAACAGGGTTTTATAAACAAAAGAAATGAGTTTAATGCCACACTGCACACTTTTCTTGTTATACCCGCTGTCGGATAGACTTCTAATATTTCACAGTATAAATCAAGTTCGATCAAATAGTCTATATTTGAAATAATAAAGGTATCCACCATCAGGTTGCAAAAATATAGGATTAGAAAGTTTGTATTTGTGCCAAAAACTCAATATCCTTATGAAGTTTGACCTGCAGCCAACTTAAATTTACATTTGTATGCTTTAATCTTTTTCAAACTTTGTAACTGCAAAAGCTATCAATAATTGTATTTTATGGCTATATTTCTGAGACATTAAACAACTAAGATAAGATGGGGAAAAGAAATCATCTTAATTTGGGTTTAAACTCAGACTTTTCATAAACCAGACTTATGTTACATTTAAATTTACACTCGTCAATAACAGTTTTTTTTACATACAAAGTATATTAAGAAAACAACATGTATATTTTTAGCATCAGTAGACAGCTCAACAGCTAGGCACATGTCTGTAGAGACGTACCTCAATTCATTGTGAACACCCTGTAACAATTTAATGCTGCAGTGTTTATCGATACACCCTGTAGTTGAAGTAACGAGATTGGTATTTTAAACAATATAAATTTAGTCAGATTTTAAAATCTACAAATTCTATTCTATGTCTCTATACACGGCTATATATGTCTATACACGTCTTTATATTTATGTTTATCTGTCTATATATGTCTAAACACGTCTATATATGTCTATACACGTCTATATATTTATGTCTATCTGTCTATATATGTCTATATTCTAGTTTCTATATAAGTCTAAATTCTAGCTTCTATTTATGTCTAATTATATTATGCCTGTGTTTAAAACTAAAATCTATTAACCCTGTCTGTCAAATTATGCATTTTTTAATTCAAATTTATTTAATTATCTTGGAGTAAATATGATGTTTGTANAATCTTTTGATTTTATGAAACTATAATGTACTTTATCATTCTTCCTCAATTCATCTTGAATTTCATAATGAACGTGCTATAATTATAAAGTAATCATCGTGCTATAATGTTAAATTAGCTGTACAATATATCACGTGTGCTATAAAGTTTTGATTGGTTCCCGGATTATCCCCAAAATATTTAGGTTATATCCAAAATATTGTTTTCAATTGAAATTGAAATCAACTTAATATTTGCCTTCTGGTTTGTTTCAAAGCTTATTTGATCTAGAAATAGCTATTGAAATAAGACAAGTACAAAAAAGTTTCATAAAATTACCTGCAACACTGTCATTTTTTTACAACGTGTCATAAAGTTGTTGGACTTGAATTTTCTCTACATCTCGAAGGTTTTCTCCTTTCTGGATTATAATTTGTCCCTCGTTAAAGCTCGGGACAAAATGAAATCTAAAAAGACTTGAACCCTCTTGATGAAGAGAAAATTTCTGTCCAAAAAGTTTATGACACTGCGAACCAAAATAACAGTGTTATAAATAGTTAAAATGAAAAAGAATTAAAGTTTATTTTTACAGAGTTTGATGAGTTATGTTATAAAATCTTTCTATTATAAATATGCAGCTATAGCCATGTAAAGCCATATCGTTATATATTACTGTTAACGTATACTTATAACGTATATTACTAATAGTTGAAACTATTGTGAGAAATTTCGTTTTCCTTGTTATATTTGACACTTGTGACGTCGTGCATAATTGGTTTATTTCTCTGTTGCCACCTATTGTACTTGATAATCTATTTGATACAAATACATATACATAAGTGAAGAGCTTAACTATTAAGATGAATTTTTACAGTACTATTGTTGTCGGATAGCTGCAAGATTCTCAATAATGAACAGATAGACAACAGGATAACCCACAAATCAAAACCGATAATGCAGAGAAACTCTTTATTTCCTAAAAAATGAAATGGATAATAACATATAAATTATTACAAAGTTTTATAATTTTATAATGAAAAGATTAGGGAGTACAGGCCATTAGCATTCAGTGCATGAGTATTGTCTGGTTTAGTTAGCTGTAATTTAGTCAGATTTTAAAATCTACAAATTCTATTCTATTTTATGTCTCTATACACGTCTATATATGTCTATACACGTCTATATATTTATGTCTATCTGTCTATATATGTTTATATTCTAGCTTCTATATATGTCTAAATTCTAGCTTCTATTTATGTCTATTATATTATGTCTGTGTTCAAAACTAAAATCGATTAACTCTGTCTGTGAACTTATGCATTTTTTAATTCAAATTTATTTAATTATCTTGGAGTAAATATGCTGTTTGTAAATTCTTTTCATTTTGAAATGCAAAATGTTTTATAAATTAGGTTTAAAGGTTTGGAACTACTTAATAGTTTTTTTATGAAACTATTCTGTACTTTATCATTCTTCCTCACTTCATCTTGAATTTCATAATGAACGTGCAATAATTATAAAGTAATCATCGTGCTATAATGTTAAATTAGCTGTACATTATAGGACGTGTGCTATAAAGTTTTGATTGGTTCCCGGATTATCCCCAAAATATTTAGGTTATATCCAAAATATTTTTTTTCAATTGAAATTTAAATCAACTTAATATTTGACTTCTGGTTTGTTTCAAAGCTTATTTGATCTAGAAATAGCTATTGAAATAAGACAAGTAAACAAACGTTTCATAAAATTACCTGTAAGACTATCATTTTGTCACGACATGCTATACAGTTTTTGGACTTAAATTTTCTCTATATCTTGAAGGTTTTCTCCTTTCTGGATTATAATTTGTCCCTCGTTAAAGCTCGGGACAAAATTAAATCTAAAAAGACTTGAACCTTTGAGATAAAGAGAAAATTTCTGCCCAAAAACTTTATGACACTGCGAACCAAAATAACAGTGTTATAAATAGTTAAAATGAAAAAGAATTAAAGTTTATTTTTACAGAGTTTGATGAGTTATGTTATAAAATCTTTCATTATTATTATTATTATTATTATTATTATTANAGTTGAAACTATTGTGAGAAATTTCGTTTTCCTTGTTATATTTGACACTTGTGACGTCGTGCATAATTGGTTTATTTCTCTGTTGCCACCTATTGTACTATCAAGTACAAATATATATACATGAGTGAAGAGCTTAACTATTAAGATGTATTTTTACAATACTACGTTCTTCTAATTATGTAATCTTTTTGGGGTAATAGGACTGTCATTCTTATTTTTAAATGACTTTGCAATTAAAGGTGTGCGTGTCTCTAATTAGTGGGTTAGCGTTTCTCTAATTAATAGGTTAGCGTGTTTCTAATAAATAGGTTAGCGTGTCTCTAATAAATAGGTTAGCGTGTCTCTAATAAATAGGTTAGCGTGTCTCTAATTAATATGTTAGCGTGTCTCTAATTCCCAAAGTTACCCTTTAAACGTACTTTCTCAACAATAAAGAAGAAGTAATGTATTTCCATATTAAAAAGTGTTGAATTCTAAGATTGTTCTTCATTTTGTCTCCAGCATAAATCCGCAGGTCACTTTTATTTGCAAACCAACAATTTAAATAATAAATTTTACACAGAAAAACAAGGTTATTTATTGTTCTTTATAAAATAAAGGCTTACAATGGTGCCGTTGTGAATCGTCCCTTGAAATAAATGCAATATTAAAATTAACGGGGTCCTCTATTGCATAATGTGTAAAAAATTATGTTTTTTTTTACTCCAGTATCTTATATTTAAATCTAAACTGAAATATCTAGAATTCAAATTTAAATAAAATTTAAATAAAATGTTCTATATGAAGTAAACCTAAAGTCCAGAAGCTGCACTGCACTTTAACATTCTGAAAAAAATGCAAAAAAAATTAAAAAGGGGTTAACTTAATATTTCACATTAACTGCATACATATACGAACATTTTACAAAGACTGTAAAAACAAAATGTCTAAAAATTGTATCAAAGACTTTTTTCGTTATTCTTAAAAACAAGAAAATCAAAAGTGTATTGGATTATTTGAAAACATTAATGAACAAAAACTGTTCTGTTAAAATTTGTTAATAAAATCAACGCTCATACGTCTACAATACGTAAATACATATTGTTCTGTGAAAACTCAACAATCAATCTTGTCAAAACATTTTGTTAAAACATAGTGTTTCTTGCTGTGATGAAATATTCTGTATAGCATGATTTAAGTATGTATTATACAGATCTTTTGCGGATTACATAGCTATGTATTATTTAAAATTCGTTACATAGATTTAACAATTTTCTCCGTTCTTTTTTATTTATTTTTCTAATATTTATATTTACATATATAGAAGTGATAGATTTTACTTTGGTAAATGTGCTTTTACAGTGTAATTGAGTATTATTTGATTAGTGATAATTATCTCTTGAATTTTTAAATTTTTTATGTACATCTAATTTAAGTCATTGAGGACCTAGACCAGACGAATAAACTTATTATTTCTATAATATAATATGAGCTAGTAATATCCTTTCCCTGCAGATAAATCTTTCTATATCTTGAATTAATAGGTTAGTATGTCTCTAATAAATAGGTTAGCATTTCTCTAATAAATAGGTTAGCGTGTCTCTAATAAATAGGTTAGCGTGTCTCTAATAAATAGGTTA